TTGTACTTCAAATGTGAACCGCTCAAAGTTCATTAAGTTTTATATATTTCATCTCAATCGATTCGTTACACCAGGGGCACTCATTAATACTAACAACATTTGTTTCACTTTCGATATAGTTAGGCTGCATATTCGAAATCACTTTCCATGTGATTGAATTGCAAAATAGAAAAATTATAATTAATTATGATTAATACGCTAATTTTAAATTTCAGTTAACAAATTAGGAATTTTTTGATCATTACAAAAATAAATTGATATTTTCTATTGGCAGAATTAATTAAATGCTGTGTGGTACAAATTGAATTTTGTTTTTTGCTGTCATAAGAGAAAAAAACAATCTCTCCGCTAGTGTGTATGTGTTTATGTTCAATTTATCATACTTTAACAGATAGGGTATTTTTGACTTTTTTGACTTTATATAAACAAAAATGAATTCTATTATTCAGTGCATTTTTTCGGTGTCAAATTTGACCGATTGTTAGCTGAAACAGTTATTTTTAATTTTTTTTTGTTCGGAAAAATTTCTGTTATTTTACACGAACTTACTTACTTACTTACGTCCGCCTGTTACCCCCAATGGAGCATAGGCCGCCCACCAGTTTTCTCCAACCAACTCTGTCCTGGGCTTCCCTCTCCATTTCTGTCCAATGTTTGTTCATTCCTCTCATATCTTTCTCTATTTCTCGGCGTAGTGTGTTCCTTGGCCTTCCTCTTTTCCTTTTGCCTTGAGGGTTCCATGTGAGGGCTTGTCTTGTGATGCAGTTGGGTGCTTTTCGTAGTGTATGTCCTATCCATTTCCACCGCTTCTTCCTGATTTCCTCCTCCATTGGAATCTGACTTGTTCTCTCCCACAGTTCGTTGTTGCTGATGGTGTCTGGCCAACGAATCCGAAGTATTTTGCGTAGACAACTGTTAATAAACACTTGTATCTTCTGGATGATGGCTTTGGTAGTTCTCCATGTTTCCGCTCCATACAGTAGAACTGTCTTCACATTTGTATTGAAGATCCTGATTTTGGTTTTGTTTGAAAGTTGTTTGGAGTTCCAGATATTTTTCAACTGTAGAAATGCAGCCCTTGCTTTGCCAATCCGTGCCCTCACATCTGCGTCCGATCCACCTTTCTCGTCGATGATGCTGCCAAGATATGTGAAGGTGTTAACGTCCTCCAAGGTATCTCCATCAAGCGTGATTCGGTTGGTGCATGTTGTTTTGCATCGGAGAATTTTGCTTTTTCCTTTATGTATGTTGAGACCTACTGCTGCAGAGGCTGCTGCTACACTGGTCGTCTTCTCTTGCATTTGTTGTTGAGTGTGCGATAGAAGAGCCAGATCATCTGCGAAGTCCAGATCGTCCAGATGCGTCCTAACTGTCCAGTTGATACCGTGCTTCCCTCCAGATGTTGACGTCTTCATAATCCAGTCGATCACCAGGAGAAAGAGAAAGGGTGAGAGTAAGCAACCTTGCCTGACACCGGTCTTCACCTCAAAAGAGTCTGTAAGCTGACCTCCGTGTACGATTTTGCAGTTGAATCCATCATAAGAATTCCGTATGATGTTAACTATTTTCTCAGGCACACCGTAGTGTCGAAGAAGCCTCCACAGTGTTTTCCTATCCACGCTATCGAATGCTTTCTCGTAGTCGATGAAGTTGATGTAGAGTGGTGAGTTCCATTCAATTGATTGTTCCACAATGATCCGTAATGTAGCAATTTGGTCAGTACACGATCGATCCTTCCGAAATCCGGCCTGTTGATCTCGAAGTTGGGCGTCTACGAAGTCCTTCATTCTGTTTAACAATACTCTGTTGAAGACTTTGCCTGGTATTGAAAGAAGAGTGATGCCTCTGTAGTTTTCACACTTGCTGAGATCGCCTTTCTTTGGTATTTTGATGAGGTATCCTTCTTTCCAATCTGATGGTACTTGTTCCTCATCCCAAATCTTCTTGAAGAGGATGTGAAATATTTTCGCAGTTGCTTCCACATCTGCTTTCATTGCCTCTGCTGGAATGTTGTCTGGTCCTGCTGCTTTGCCGCTCTTGATTTGTCTGATGGCTATACTGATCTCCTCAATCGTAGGTGCGCCAATATTAATTGGGAGGTCCGTGGATGCTGCTTCGATGTTGGGTGGGTTCAGTGGAGCTGGTCGATTCAATAGTTCCTTAAAGTGCTCCACCCACCTATTTCGCTGTTCGTCAGTGTTGCTGATTATTTTCCCTTCCTTGCTTTTCACTGGTCGTTCTGGTTTACGATAGTTTCCGGCGAGCTTCTTTGTAGTTTCGTACAATTGTCTCAAGTTTCCTTCTCTTGCAGCCTTTTTCGCCGTCGTTGCTAGATCTTCCACATATTTTCGTTTGTCAGCTCTGATACTCTTCTTCACTTCCCTGTTTGCTTCTGTATACTCGGCTTGCGCCTTAACTTTCTCTGCTCTTGTTCGGCAGACATTGATAGCTGCCTTCTTGTTCCTCCTTTCTTGAATTTTTTCAAGAGTACCAACAGAGATCCATTCCTTGTGATGGTGCTTCTTGCGACCAAGGACCTCCTGACATGTTGAAGTGATTGCTTCCTTAATCCCTTTCCAATTGTTCTCCAATGTTGCTTCCTCTCCATTGAGTAGATCCTGAAAGGCCTGGAACCTATTGGTGAGGGCTATCTTGAATTCGTTGAGTTTTACAGTATCCCGAAGAAAGGCTGTATTAAACTTCTGTGATGTTGTCTGCCCCGTTGTCCAGTGCTTCTTTAGTATCGATTTCATTTTGGCGACCAGCAAACGGTGATGTGAGGCTTTATCAGCTCCTCTCTCGCTTCTCACATCCTCCACGGTTCTTCTAAACGTTTTGTTGATACAGATATGGTCAATTTGGTTTTGAGTAGTGTGGTCCGAAGAAATCCATGTGGCTTTGTGTATGCGTTTGTGCGGGAATATTGTGCCACCGATGACCAGTTTGTTGAAGGCACATAGGTTTGCAAATCTCTCACCGTTTTCGTTCCTTTCTCCCAGTCCATGTCGTCCCATGATGTCTTCATATCCAGTGTTGTCCATTCCAACCTTGGCATTCAGGTCTCCCATCAGAATCGTCAAATCCTTTGGTGAACATTTATCGACGATTGACTGCAGCCTTTCGTAGAATTGATCTTTGTCGTCGTCATTGTAGTCGTTGGTAGGTGCATAACATTGGATGACGTTCATTGTAATGTCCTGTTTCTTTGTTTTGAAGGATGCTTTAATGATCCTGGGTCCATGAGATTCCCATCCTATCAGTGCCTTTTGTGCATGTTTGGACAGCATCAGTGCAACTCCTTGTGTATGTGAAGCGTTTTCCTCTTCATGACCAGAGTATAACAGCAGTTCCCCTGAAGCTAGTCTCAGTTGTCCTACTTGTGTCCAATGTGTTTCACTGATGCCGAGCACCTCGAGGTTGTATCTTTTCATTTCTGCCGCAACTTGAAATAGTCTTCCAGTCTCCCACAATGTACGAACGTTCCATGTACCTAAAAAAATGGTTGCTCTGGTTGTCAGAAGAGGCATCAGCCCCGTGACTTCCGAGGGGACTCGGCTTTCATCACGCGACGTCATAATTCTTCCTCCAACTCCCAGGGCAGAGTTAAAATGGTTTGAATTATTTTTTCTGGTTAGCGTTTTTTTGGCAAGTTAGATTTCAACGGAATGGGGCCGCCAACCCCATGTCCAACCCTCCTCCTTTATCCGGGCTTGGGACCGGCAGTAGCCCCTAAGGTTCTACTGGCGGAGTTTTTACACGAACTACTTGTAAGTAATTAAATTGTATGTACACTTCCTATAGGTTACAATGATAGTTGGTTTATGAAAAAATTACAAGAATTACTATGGCTACAATCAAACTATACGTATTACATGGATTGTAGATTATTTACTGGTAAATAAATTAGTTCTGTGTCATATAAATAAACTAAAACAACAGTCTCATACATTCAGTTTTTAACTATATTCTAATGTAAGTTGAGATGGTGGAGAAGATTTGTAGCTCAGGTGGATGGATGATTATAGTGGTGGTGGCGTTTGGTTCTCTGAGCTGAGGATGTTTTGGTTGTGCAGCTTTCATTGTTCTTCTGCTGAACAACAACATCAGCACAAACTTCTTCAGATAGAAGTCAAGCATTCGAATTTCTCCACGTTTGACCTGTAGCTTGTTCAAATCATAGGTGACATAGGATCAAGAAACAGATCAAAAAAAGGGGGATACAATCAAAACAAAGATGCAAACAACCAAAGGTTTAAGGTCAACAACACACAATCAAGATCAAGGTTAGCAAAACAAGCTATAAGTCAGACGTGGAGAAATTCGAATGCTTCACTTCTTCTATCTGAAGAAGTTTGTGCTAATGATGTTGTTCAGCAGGAGAAAAATGAAAGCTCCAGAACCAAAACATCCATCTCAGAGAACCAAACACCACCACCACCACAATCATCCACCTGAGCTACAAATCTTCTTCACCATCTCAATAGGTAATACAAAATTGAATTCCATTCAGGAAATTTATTTCCTCACAATTTTAGCTACGTTATATTGATAAATTCAGAATTTCAAGAGTTTCAAATTCTGCAATTGTTTTATCTATTTTCTCTAATCTCGTAACACTTGACGGTATCTTACCGCCTATCGTGTAATCCTTTTAAGTAATAAATATTTCAGCTATCTAACATTAGGTTAGAGTATTGTAAGGAGTGTGTCATTATGTCTGTACCTTCTTCAAAACCTATTTATTTATCAATTGTCTTATGTAAAAACCATCAGTACAACGGTTGACTATTGAAAATCAATCAATCATTCATTTTTTGTTTCCCTTCAATATAATACATGTTTAAAATTGAACATTTCCTACAGGATGTGAGCGGTTTTTTTTAAAAAAAATTTCCGATTTCAATTTCTTTTCTCATTTTTAATTTATCATTTATCATATGATTTTATATTTCCTTTCATTGAATTAATCAATAAAATATTTTGAATTCATTCATGTATAGAGGATCAACTAAATCAACTTACAATAATAATACCACACCATATTCCGAACATCATCAACATGAAATCAATGTACATAGACATGATTGTTTACAAAAGAATGCATCATTTAATATGAATGATATTTGTTTGAATTCGAATATACTAGGTAGTTGTAGTCCAACAGAAACTATAGCTGCTGGTTCGAATTCTGGTTCAATTGGTATTCGTATTGGACATCATACATTAACAAATAATGAATTGAATCAAAATCTACGCACAAACATCTATTCATCATCACATCATTCGAATTGTATACATTCAGATTGTAATGTTAAAAAACTGAATGAAACAGTACCATTATTAACTGGTAGTAGTCATTGTAATTGTGGTGTATCAATTGATACGTCTACAGCATCGGCACCAATGAATTGGATATCGAATATGACAGCATTTAATATTGGTGTATCTAGTGGCGGTTGTTTTGAAGATCATCATTCAACATCCATTGAAAGTGATCCTGATGGTAATAATTCTATGAAATTAATTAATGATTGTCAAGAAAATAGTAAAAATTGGCGAAATGATTTGAATTGTGGTAAATTTAAGTTGAATAAACAATTATCCGGTAAGTTGTAATTAGGTTCTTATACTGACTATATACAAATATATATGTAATTTGAAATATGGCCAGTGATTGTTTACGTAATTTGAAACATGTTTACCTTTCTTATTGTCACTTATTAGTGTATGATAATATAGAGGTGATTATCATCAAAATTAATAGTTAAACTTTAGAATTACTAATGTTTACAACAAAAAGGGTTATAAGTCTGTTGATCACAAGTGATGTGAGTAATTGTTTGGGCGTGAACTTTGTCAGAGTTAATAATAATAATAATAATAATAATAATAATAATTATAATAATATTTATTCTCAAATAAGCACGTTACAAGAGGCATACAGGTTTACAGGCTAGATCAAAATTGTAACAAATGCTTTCACATTAACTGTAAAACTTAAAGCTGTTAAATTAGGTGCAAGAGTCAGTTTGTGATAGCATATTTATATCATGTCACTGACAGAAACAATATTATACAGCCACATTTTCAATAGTAGAGTACAAATAAGCAAAGTGCACAATAGGTTCCTTTGGCGATTTGCCGAGATCAATAGTGAATTTGCTGGGAAAGGTCAACTGGAACGCGCTTGATACGAGCTGTGATCCAGACAGTCATGTACATAGGGTGCATGTTCCCTAGAGGCGCCAAGGATTTCCCATCGTGAATGGGGATCTGAAAAGAGAGAAAAGAGAGAGAGAAAAAGGCAGCAGCGTGGCAAGTATATACATATAACCAAAGCACTAATTAACTTGTCATGTTGAAGTAGTCAGTACAGTGGTAAGTTAAGATAAAATTCATACTGACCACGAAAATTAAAGTAAATTGTGGGAATATAAGAATATAACCCATATAGGAAGTAGTACAGCAAAGAAGAAGGAAGAGTTGTCGAGTGTCAAGTGGAAAGAAGAGAAGTTGAAGCAAGAAGCTGGATTTATGTACGTTGAAATCGAAAGAGTAGAGTTTGTAAAAAGAAAACATTGATGGACAAAAGTTCTCACTGTGTAACTGTTTTTTATTATTATTATTATTATTGAATGCCAACCTCTAAGTCATACTGTAAGCGCCTGAGTAAGCATGTTGCGGGTATCTCGACAGGATAGCGACCTCAGCATAGTTTTGAAATATTGTAAAAAATCCACTTGCTCTGAAGATGTAACCTTTTCTTTGCAAATATTGTGTTATTACTGATGTTAAACTCATGGTTCTATTTAGTGATGATTAAAAGTGAAATCACGCATCAGTACATGCCAGTGACGAGTTACAGTTAGAATTAAACATGCATCTTGAAATTTGAGATGGTGGAGAAAATTTGTAGCTCAGGTGGATGAATTGTGGTGGAGTTTCGTTCTCTGTTCTGTTAACCTCGAACTTGACTGATTGTTAATGACCTAATACCTATCGGTATCTGCACTTTTATTATGATTTGATCTCCCTTTGATTGGTTGGTAAATTGAGTCAATGTCAACCTGCTTGTTCGTTGCCATTAATGTTATTGCTAAGCTTCTGAAAATTATTTGGTGTTCTGTGTACTCCCTCTATTCAGTGTTTCAACATTGTTCCAATCGAATGTATGTCAATAGTAATCTGTTTGTATTATATAAGGGAAGAAATGTCATGGTGTTTGACTGCAGATTAATGTTCACATAGACGAAGGGAACACCCGCTTTGAACGATGTAGCATTTTTATTCAGTTTGAACACTGTATTGTGTAAATGGTTTTTCTTCTTTTGTCATTTTATCCTTTGATTCACATTAAATTGTTTGAATTAATTTTGTTGGTTTACATGTTACACCAACTTAAAATGGCGCCAGTAATCTTCAAGCGATTTCCGATATGTCTTTTATACATGGTAAGATGTTCGGTTGCTTCGTGTACTTGATGTCGTTTCTGCTATGTCTTACTTACTGCGGTTTTCTTGTCTCATTTCCAGTAACTAATACATCCAGGAAGGATGATGTTTCCTTTTTCACAATGACGTTTATGTTGTCGAAGAACTTGTTGATCGGATTGTAGGTATTTTTCAGGTCTTTCCTTTGGATGGTGATGATGAATGTGTCGTTTACATAACAAACCTACATTTTTGGCTTGATCATTGGTGAAATCGAGTCTTCTAGTGTCTACATGACTGCTTGTGATATTGGTGATCCCGTTTGTGTTAATTTCATTTTTACATGGATTTTCTTGTTGAATTGCAATCATATTAAGCATAAATTGATGAGTTTTAGTAGGCTTTGACTGTGACGTTCGGTGTATTTTGGGAACTTTGAGTTTCTTTCTCTAACTTTGGTTAAATTGAAGTGAATAATGCTGGTACATCGAAGTATATCACTAGTCTCTAATAGTTTATTCGAATCTCCTGAAGTTTGTCCAAGAAATGTATGGAAGACTTAATGGGGTGATTAGATGGACCCACAAAACATTTCAGTATTTTTGAAATTTCTCTCGATAAATTATATGTTTGAGTTCCGGAGGAGGATACAGTTGCATAGTAGTAGTCTCGGCCCAACGCAGATCAAAGAGGGAGGAAATCAAAATAACGAGTTAGATAATGACAGAATAATTATCAGTGACGAAAAATCAAGATTGTGGTCAACAGTACAAGGTCGAAACCATAGGTGGCGAAATTCAAATACTTCACTGCTACCCGAAATTTGTGCTTACGATGCTGTTTAGAAAAACGATGAAAGTTACACAACTAAATCACCCTGCTCAGAGAACGAAACTCCGCTACAATCTTGAGTTTTACTGGAACTTGTACAATAATGGCTTTACGTTCAGTCAATTCTTACATGATGCATATATATGAGACTAGTCAAAACCAACTCACAATTTCAATCCAGTACTATGTACATCCTTCAGATCATTTTCTTCGCATGCAGTTAAGAATGGATAATTCCTAATTAAAACAAAATATGCTGGCTCAATAAAGTAGCCTCTTTTTTTAATGAATTCATTTTCAAAAAAGTACAGTTACAAATAAATACTTTTCATTCTAACAATAACAGTGATAATAACTATTTTTCTCAACAAAGTAACAATGTGGTAAAATTCTGTAAGAGATATAAAAATCGTTATTTTTTTAGACAAGGAAACTGTTAATAATTTTGCTGTTGACAGTTTGCATTTTCACTACAAAGACTGATTGATAGATAGATAGATAGATAGATGATGGTTGTCATTGGAAAGGGATTACTTACCATGTTAAGATAAATCGTTGAAATCGAAATGGATATCAATTAGGAGGAGGCTAGAGAACAGGAAATGTGAAAAGAAAAAAAAACACGAGAATTTAAAATCATGGTAGAAGAAGGGATTGTAAAAATATAATAGCCCTGTTCCCGGTTGAAATCGTTAACTTTTACGTGATTTCATAGAATAGATGGAATGTGACTAACGCTAAAATTCAGAATATTCAATTTTAAACTTCTGATAGATGAATGTATTGTATCGAAACTTGCATAACGTAGGTGAAGCCGAGAAAATCCACTCAGATTGTTATTGTTCCAACCAGTACTGATCAAAATTCAATACATATATGACCTGTCGGGTGTAGGCAGTAACTACCAAACACAAATAGGTGAGGTCGCGTAAAATCCCAAGATCAATCAGAGTTAGACATTAACACCGTTGGATCCAGGCCAGTGGTCCAATTGTGGTGCGAGCTACTTATAAGTAGTATATGACGCGAGTAAAAACGTAATGTCTGGCAGCAGAAAAAGGAGGAAGATCAAGAAAGGAAGAGTGGGAAGACAATGGAATTTGTATGAAACGCATGAATAGTGAAATGTCAGACAGTGGATTGATGTTTGCAACAGGAACAGTCCAGTTCGATATGATGAACTGATATATTGCAAATTAAAGATTTACGATATGGTTTTCTGATTTTACTAAGTAACTGTAATTTTGGTTGCCCCACCCGTGTTCTCGTTCACTACACAATGGTTAGGCATTCGCGCACAATACCGAAGGTTCCGGTTTTGAATCGTGCGAGATGCAGGAGTCGTGGATGCGCACTGCTGATGATTCCCACACCAGGACGAAACGGCCGTGTTTCAGTGCTTCCATGTTTCTAATGGTGGTCTAACAACGATTGATTAATGTTTTCAAAATGTGAAAAATTCAAACTATGATAAATTAATTTGTTTCGATTTTAATTTTAAATCATATTCATTTTTTTTCCAGCTGATATGCATGAACTGAATATGGAGTCAATGAATGGAAATATTAATAATACATCACGTGATATGACATTATCATACCTTGGGTCAACTGTTCAAAACCCGATTAATTGTCATACACCTTACTGTCAACAACATCAACAGCTACAAAATATGAGCGGTAATCGTAGTCCATTTAAACTTACTGGACCTGTAATTAATCCACCTAATTTACAAATGACCTGTTGTACAAATGCTAATAATAATGTTCATTTAAATTTTAATCATTCACGTGATTTTCGAAATAATCAATTGATGACTAAAATGATTGGTGATAATGGATGTACCGCAGGAGGAAGTGGTAGTCTTACAGATGAAGTGACAGCATCTTCACCAGGAAGTAGTGCCAATGGACGTACTCATGGTTATTTAAATCAAATCTCTTCTTCACCAACAAGTACAAGTTTAAATTTTAAAAAATACAATAGAATTATTGGAAAATATGAAAATGAAGAAGATATTAGCAATGAATTAACTATGCATCAAGATACAAATTTTGTAAATTATAGAAATAAACATGATGGACATGGAACACGTAGGTTGTTTATCCATTTAATAATATATATGGTAGAAAAATACTTTATCGAAGAATTGAAAAGACTCAAAATTTACTATTTAGAAGAAATTTTAATTCTGTTATTAACTAATGAAATTATAGAAATCATAGTATAAAAATGAAGAAAAAGAGGGTTGAGATTAAGAGTTTGGCTTAAGAATAACGATTTTTTCGCCATTTAGGGTTATGGAGATCAGTGTTTTTACACTCTGAGATCATCAGTCGATCATTGTTAGACCACCATCAGAAAGCACTGGACAGTCGTTTCATCCAGGTATAGGACTCATCGGCAATGTGCATTCCTGCTACTCACAGGAACCCAGGACCTTCGGTCTTGTGCCTAACATCTGGATCATTGAGCTGGCATCTAACGATGTTGATGTCTAACTCTGACCAATCTAGTAACTGTAGGTACACTGGTTTCTTGGGCACATCAGTTGCTATCAGTTTCGTCGTAGTTGTGTTCTGATGACCAGTAAACGTTTCGGGATATCCGTTTAAGTGTCTCAGTAATAAGCTTGAATTCGTCGTCCAATGTATCAGCAGTGTAGATTCTACTGGCTGCAGCGAATAAAGTTTTGACAACAGAACGTTTATATTGTATGGGGCAGAAACTAGTGAACGTGGATATATATATATATATATATATTTATATTTATATATATATATATATATATATATATTATCAGGTTTCTATTATGCAGTGAGTACCTGATGTCAAGTCTTAAAGTGTCTTTTCCCTTGTGTTATAGAACATTTTCTATTTTTTGATTTATTTAATGTTATAGATCAAAAATTAACTGTAAATACTTCAATGGATCAACAAAGTCTATCACCATTACCTCCAAGAAAATACACTAACAATAACAATAACAATAATAGTAATAATATTAATCATAAAAATCAAATTCTATCTGAAAATCAAAATGAAAAATGTCAAACTCTTGGAACCGGCATATCAAATCGAAATAATGCGCTAAGTTCTGATTATGCTTCACAACAAAGTAGCTTAAGTAAGATTTTAAATAAAAAAAAATTAATTTCCTATTTGACGTAATAATTTTGCATGTATTTTTCTTGTATTTAAAACAATGTTCTCTTCGACTATCGTTTCCTTCTTTTTTTTCTGATGACTTGAATATTTTATTATTGAAATAAAAATACAGAAATACATTACGTTACATTAAACATAATTTCATTGACGTAAGTTGACCGTAATTTAATTTTTCATAATAATTGAACATTCTTTTATTTAATTATGTAACAAAAATAAACTGCCGGATTTAGATGAACTCATGTACTTTTTTATGGAAAGAACCTCGTATCTAGTGAATGATAAAAAAAGGAGAAACGGGATTAGAAACATCCATCTAATGCCTTTTGAGTTTTTAAATAATGATCCAACTACAATGAGCAGGTTACGGTTAGTAGTTAGACAATATGAATCAGGATATCTTTAAATGTTATACTAGTGAAATTGTATACTGTAATCAGTGATATGCTTGAAACTATTACGGGTTCACTTTAGTTGATAAACTCCAACGAGACAATGAAACAGTGACAGGTTTTGCTACTCTGATCAGTTACCGCAAACGACCTAACAAAGAAGTCTCGATATAGCGTAGATCGTGTATTCTACAACAACCAGCAAACACAGTGATCTCAAGCACACAAAGTGAGTTTTGGAGATCTAACGTCTCTGACAATCAGAAATATCCTTACATAATTGATGAATTCTCATTAATCAATGAAACTAAAATTACGAAATTGCTCAACTGTCGACTTTTAATAGTGAATGAACATAACACTATACATGAACCTTCTAAAATTTTGATGGAACAATGAGAAGACATAATTGATCTGAAAAATGTTATGATGTATTTGCGCGCTATACATTTTAAACAATCTGGTCACATATCTATATACACCTGTCAAGGCATTTTGTATGAAGATTATTACAAAGGTGGTCAATTAAATAAAAGTTCAAATAGACATAAGGTGATAATTGTAGATGACGGAGAGAGAAAATCAATGTAATATGAAAAGAAAAAGAAAGGATAGGAAATTGTCACATTACCCAAGGCCATAAAATCATTTAAAGATTATTTTTGGGGCAGTTTTTTTGGAATTTTGTGTTGAAATCATCAACCGATCATTGTTAGACCGCCGTTAGAAACCTGGAAGCACCGGACTACCGTTTCGTCCTGGTATTGGACTCATTACCAGTGCGCCTCTACGACTCCTGCACCTCGCAGGATCCGAAACCGGGACCTTCGGTATACTGAGCGAACGTCTAACCATCGGACCACTGTGCCAGTATCCAACGGTGATGATGTCTAACTCAGATTGATCTAGGGATTTTGCGCGCGACCTCACCTATTTGTCTTTGGTAGTAGTTACTGCCTACACCCGACAGGGTTGAACTCCATTGGTCACATTGTCTCACTAAAACTCCGAGGATTTCCTCGCGTAACTAGTCACTAATGAGCACTGTTTCGATATTTTTGGGCAGTTTTTTTGGAGGTCTGTTTTTTACACATTTGAAATCGTCAATGAATCACTGTTAGATTTAAAGATTACCAAAACTTCCATAGATCTCAGAATACCTCCTACAACGTTTTTATACGATGTTTTGAAGGCTTTCTTGACGTCCTTCTTGTGCTCCACGCTTATCAGGTCATACTCATCAATGAAAAAGATTAATCAATGATTAAGACAAACTGACAATCACTTAATAATAATTTACTTAGAACTACTTTTAAAAATAAATACGAAAAAATCTTTAAACTTAACTGAAAATGTGTAATGTGAATGGTTACTATCACTGAAAGTGTAATTTTTGTCTTTTAACATTAAAACAGGTAACAAATCCAGTGGTTCAAGTGCAACAAATCATGGTTTTTCACCGGAAAAACATGTAAACTATACAAATAAAGTTAAAATGATCGATGTAAATACAAATGTACATAATGTCGGTGCATCCTTTGTATTAGATCGTGTACCGACACCAGAACCACAACATCGTACAGGCGGGGCATTTGCAAGATTAATGCAATATAATTTATCAGACCAGCAACCTTTGAATCGTTTACAAGTACACGGTTTCACTGAGGATGATTATCTTCTACCTGGGAAAATAGAAATGAAAAATAAAATTTTACAATCACCAACAATTATGAGAAGACCAACAATCACAGCAACAACCATAACAACAACCACAACAAAACCATCGAATACACTTCCTCCAAACACTCTCAGTTTAAGTACAGCACACAATACATTTTCAACGAAGCCGAATTATAGTTTAGAACTGAATAAACATGATCGAACACCTGATACACCAGATAGTATTTCTGAACAAGAAATGATGGTAAGTAAAATGAAGTGTACCTGATTGACAATTAGTTGGGAAATTTAATGATATTTCATATATTTAACACAGATTAGTTCACAGAAATTGTAGGCATTTTGCTACAAGTGCTACTTTTATATAATACTGAACATTGGATAGATTTTAAAGTGAATTCCTACTTGAATATAACCTTCTCTAAGTGAAGTTATCATTATAGCTCACACCAGATATCATGAAATTTATTTTGAGTTTAAACTAATCAGTTTGTATGATACGAAATTTAGTTTAATTGCAAGACATCTATAGTTCATTTAATATGACTGAAACTATGTTGAGACTCTAAAGATGGAATGAGCCGCATGTACTGAATCCATTCCTTAGTCAAGATGCTGGAAAGTAGTAATTAAAGACAATGTAAAGGCGATCCTCTCAGATGATGGGTATGTCAACAGAGTCATATAAGTTGTAGTTTCTACGGAAAAATTCACATCCTTGTAATCAAGTTTGAATTATTAGTGAAATGAATCACTAATAGTTAAATCAATTTTTTCTGTAATTTATGCGACTGAAGTAAGTACAGTTAAACCGAAATTTGAAAAGTTTCCTTTCAGGATTATGATATGCTAGTTAATTGATTGATCCACCTTACTCAGTAAACGAGAGCGATGAGCAACGAATGACTGACTCATTGACACGGTAGGCTATTCTAATCTGATTATCATCACCCCCACTAACTAGAATAAGAAGTCTTGATAAGAATTAGAGAATGTATTCTACAAGCACCGAGAAAATACGAGGTCAACAAACACACAAATCGAGCTTTTTCCTACATGATAGAAGCGCTCTTGGGAGAGCCACAAAAATAGCGCACTAAAATAATCCATCAACCAATGACAGCCAAGCATTTCCAAGCGGGAAATTTAAGCTATCAGTAAACTAAACATAAAAATCCAAAATTTCAGAAACAAATTAGAAAAATTAGAACCCATTTCAAGTGAGTTCTGGTGATCTACCGTCAAAAACAGAATATTATTGTTAGGATATTCATCCAATATCCTAAGAGAATTATTGGTCAAATCCTATTGGTCGATTTCTATTGGACAAAATTATGGTTGTTATAACTGTCAAAGCCAAATACTTTAATGTTGTTTCTTATTGGTTATCCTGACTATCAATGTCACTTCAAATGTTACTTCCTATTGGTCGTCTTAACTGTCAATGCCACAGAATTCGATGCTGTTTCCAATTCGACCAAAATATATAAATACGCATTATCTGTAACGTTTATTGACCAAGACCAGGATCGTGGCTCGGTCCCGGTTCCCCAGTTCGGGATCTCGATTCTCTTCTGGATTCGGACCTCGTACTTTCTGGATGCTTGTATAATACAGGTTCTAGTTCATATAATGTCTTCTTATTTTTTTACTAAATATGGGGGTTGGGATAATCGGATTAGATTAGCATGTCGTGCCGCCGGATCCTCGATCCTCGCTCTCGTTTTTCCGACTAGGTGAACTCCTAATAGTTCAAGTATACCAAGTTGACGTGTTTACGGGCACGCGTAACAATCTTATTACTTAATTTACAATTGTTCACTTATTTCTGCAGTTAACTTGTCAATCAAGATACAAATTCTAATTCACATAAATACGGGTTCGAGACAAGATCCTTAACAGCATTCTCATCTAACTTTCCTTAACTTCATTTACCTTTTTTTTTCTATTTTCAGAGAGGATTTAGTACAGAAGAATTAAATCAAGAAATGGCTAATTTAGAAGGATTAATGAAAAATTTATCAGAAATTACACAGAATGAATTCACATGTTAAATAATTGCCTTGATTTAATAATGATTTCCTTATCTATCACAATAATTTCACTTTTTATAAAATTTCTTTATACTTTACATGAATGAATTTGACTGCTTTTCGTTTTCTTTTTTTTCAAATATAATAAATTGTGATAGGAATATTTTTCAAAAATTTCAAAAATTTCAAAAAAAAATGCATGTCAAAATATTTGTGCAAACAAACTATGTAAATTACAAGACGTTATAGTTCATAAAAGTCCAATTCCGATGACGATGACCTGAAACCACTAGCCTTTTATGTAAAATCAACATTTACTACTAATTAAAGACATTAGTAGACTAAAAATTACCAAATAAAAAAACTGCATATAATAAAATAACATGAAATTCATAGCTGTTTTTTTTTATTCATGGTTTCTCTTTCCCGTTGTAAATAAACATGCATTTAATCAAGTTAATAATATTTTTATGCTTTAATCGCATAAAAAATAGAAAAACATACTAGGATGCCTGAAAGCACCTTTTTTAAAGCACATTTTTATGGTTATTGTATTATTATTGTTGTTGTTTGATAAAATATCATCTCCCAGTGAATTATTTGCCAAAGAGAGAATGTAATTTATTCAATATTCAATACAAAATAAAAAAAACCTTCATACAATAGGAGTAATTAATTAATGACTTTTTATTTTATCTTTCTCAATCTTCACTGTTTATACTCTTTCTTTCTTTCTCTCTGTATTTACTTATTTTATTCAATAATTAATAAATGATAAATTGTTTTAAACAAAAAATAAATAAATTCAGTTCGATAATTATATTTTCAACTTACCTATCTATACACATAAGGGGGGGGGATTTAATTTTCTAATATCCAAGGCCTCCATAAACCTCAAAATTCGTCCTTCAACAATTCTATACAATGTTTTGAAGGCTGACTTGATGTCGTCAATCTTATGCCCTGTCTCACTTATGTGTTTTGGCGATCGATGAACATGGTTTTCTATTTCCCACACTAATCGGCTCATCTGAGACGTTAACTGATTAGGGTACATGTTCCATAACCGTTTGATTGCAAAGTCCGATTACTTCTCCCTTTGTACGTGTGTTCACACAAACATGTAGATTGATAAATGCAATGGGATGTGGTGTAACCAATCGAGCAACGTTTAGGTCTATGTGAAATTATGGACTTAGTCTTTTCAGGGATAATCAGTTTAGCAGCGTTGTATGTCTTCACCATGGCCGCTTTAGTCTCCGTCTTAAGATTAGACCATTTGTTTCACCACTAAATGGTATAGTGATATAAACCTTTTCTTCTCAGCAGAATCAAAAAACTTGCTTTTTTCTTAACTGATTTCTACACTTATTGATGAACTTTAGCGGATAGCCATTTGAAATCCATGCTTGAGTTAAGAATTTTGCATCGTCTTCAAATGTTATCCGTGGTGCAAATCCTTCGAGCTCATTATTTTAAAACATATGTATATGATTTTGATTTAGTAAAAAAAATTGTTATTTTTTTCATTTATTAAAAAATTGTCTGCAAACTCTTTTTGTACATCATCTATTTCCGGTCAACGCTAAACTCTTTGGTTCATTTAACTCATACTGATTATAATTCACTCAATCTACAGAAAAAAACTTGACAATAATATTCGTGATTATAATAATGATCATTATTATCATATAATTTAAAGCCAAATTTACAAAAAAGGAGGAACACTAAAGAGAATTAATTAAAAAATGCTCAATTTTCATTTCGAATTAAAGATCCATTTGTTTTCATGAAATAAACTTTAGTTAAAAATGATTTAATTTAAAGCAATATTCATAAAATGAATAATGAACATTGATGTAATCAAGTGGAAATAGTAGGAAACAATGAGATTATTGGATTTTATTTAAGACCGAGAGAAAAAAAAATTTAAACATTTTTCGTCATTAGACTTGTTGGTGGTGGTGTTTGGTTCTCTGAGCTGCGGATGTTTTGGTTGTGGAATTTTCATTGTTCTCCCGTTGAACAACATCATCAGCACAAACTTCAGATAGAAGTGAAGGATTCGAATTTCTACACGTTTGACTTGTAGCTTGTTCTGCTAACCTTGACAAAGAACACTACGGAATTTTTAGAAGCTTGGCACTCACGTCAATCAGCAATCAACAAACACATCGACATTGACAGAAGGTACAGACATAATGAAACACACACCTTACACTACTCTAACCCATATTAGATAGCTGAAACATTTATTACTTGAAAGGATTACACGATAGGCGGTAAGGTATCGTCAAATGTTACGAGATTAGAGAAAATAGATAAAACAATTGCAGAATTTGAAACTCTTGAAATTCTGAATCTATCAATATATAGATTCAGAATTTCAAGAGTTTCAAATTCTGCAATTGTTTTATCTATTTTCTCTAATCTCGTAACATTTGACGATACCTTACCGCCTATCGTGTAATCCTTTCAAGTAATAAATGTTTCAGCTATCTAATATGGGTTAGAGTAGTGTAAGGTGTGTGTTTCATTATGTCTGTACCTTCTGTCAATGTCGATGTGTTTGTTGATTGCTGATTGACCTGAGTGCCAAGCTTCCTAAAATTCCCCAGTGTTCTTTGTCAAGGTTAGCAGAAGAAGCTACAGGTCAAACGTGGAGAAATTCGAATGCTTCACTTCTATCTGAAGAAGTTTGTGCTGATGATGTTGTTCAGCAGGAGAACAATGAAAGTTCCACAACCAAAACATCCGCAGCTCAGAGAACCAAACACCACCACCGAAAAGTATAATGTCGAAAAATGTTAAATTTTTTTTCTTTCAGTCTTAAATGAAATACAATAATCCGATTGTTTACTACTCTTTCCATTTGATTACATCAATGTTCGTTATGCATTTTATGAATATTGCTTTGAATTAAGTCATTTTCAACTAAAGTTTTTCTTAATGAAAACAAATGAATCTTGGATTCGAAATAAAAAATTGAACATTTTTTAATTATTCTCTTTAGGTTTCTTCCTTTTTGTAAATTCGGCTTTAAATCACATAATAATAATGATCATTATTATTATCATCATGAATATTAGTGTCAAGTTTTTTTCTGTATATTCAGTAAGTTATATATTCAATTTAAGTTAAATGAATCAAAAAGCGTAGCGTTGACCGGAAATAGATGATGTACAAAAAGAGTTTGCAGACATTTTTTTAATAAATAAAAAAAATAACAATTTTTTTTACTAAATCAAAATCATATACATATGTTTAAAATAATGAGCTCGAAGGATTTGCACCACGGATACATTTGAAGACGATGCAAAATTCTTAACTCAAGCATTGATTTCAAATGGCTATCCGCTAAAGTTCATCAATAAGTGTAGAAATCAGTTAAGAAAAAAGCAAGTTTTTGATTCTGCTGAGAAGAAAAAGGTTTATATCACTATACCATTTAGTGGTGAAACAAATGGTCTAATCTTAAGACGGAGACTAAAAGCGGCCATGGTGAAGACATACAACGCTGCTAAACTGATTATCATTGAAAAGACTAAGTCCATAATTTCACATAGACCTAAACGTTGCTCGATTGGTTACACCACATCCCATTGCATTTATCAATCTACATGTTTGTGTGAACACACGTACAAAGGGAGAAGTAATCGGACTTTGCAATCAACGGTTATGGAACATGTACCTAATCAGTTAACGTCAGATGAGCCGATTAGTGTGGGAAATAGAAAACCATGTTCATCGATCGCCAAACACATAAGTGAGACAGGGCATAAGATTGACGACATCAAGTCAGCCTTCAAAACATTGTATAGAATTGTTGAAGGACGAATTTTGAGGTTTATGGAGGCCTTGGATATTAGAAAATTAAATCCCCCCCCCTTATGTGTATAGATAGGTAAGTTGAAAATATAATTATTGAACTGATTTCATTTATTTTTTGTTTAAAACAATTTATCATTTATTAATTATTGAATAAATAAATACAGAGATATAGAAAGAAAGAATATAAACAATGAAGATTGAGAAAGATAAAAAAGTAGTCAATAATTATTTACTCCTATTGTATGTAAGTTTTTTGTATTTTGTATTGAATATTGAATAAATTACATTCTCTCTTTGGCAAATAATTCACTGGGAGAAATTTTATCAAACAACAACAACAATAATAACAATAACAATAAAAATGTGCTTTAAAAAAGGTGCTTTTAGGCATCTAGATGTTTCTTTTTTGTATGCAATTAAAGCATAAAAATATTTATTGATTGTTTCAGTGATTATTAACTAGAATAAATGCATGTTTATTTACACGGGAAAGAGAAACATGGTAAAAAACAACTAATGAATGAAGAGTTTTTTTTATTTGGTAATTTTAGTCTACTAATGTCATTAATAAGTAGTAAATGTAGATTTTACATAAAAGGTTAGTGTTTTCAGGTCATCGTCATCGGAATAGGACTTTTATGAACTATAACGTCTTGTAATTTACATAGCTCGTTTTTTACAAATATTTTGACATGCATTTTTTTTTTAAATTTTTGAAAAATATTCCTATCACAATTCATTATATTTGAAAAACAAAAAAGAAAAGCAGTCAAATTCATTAATGAAAAGTATAAAGAAATTTTATAAAAAGTGAAATTATTGTGATAGATTAGGAAATCATTATTAAATCAAGGCAATTATTTAACATGTGAATTCATTCTGTGTAATTTCTGATAAATTCTTCATTAATCCTTCTAAATTAGCCATTTCTTGATTTAATTCTTCTGTACTAAATCCTCTCTGAAAATAGAAAAAAAGGTAAATGAAGAAAACGAAAGTTAGATGAGAATGCTGTTAAGGATCCTGTCGCAACTCTGCATTTATTTGAATTGTAATTTGGATTTTGATTGAGAAGTTAAGTGCAGAAATAAGTGAACAATTGTAAATTAAGTAATAAAATTGTTACGCGTGCCCGTAAACACGTCAACTTGATATACTTGAACTACTAGGAGTTTACCTAGTCGGGAAAACGAGAGCGAGGATCGAGGATCCGGCGACACGACATACTACTCGAATCCGATTATCCCAACTCCATATTCAGTAAAAATAATAAGAAGACATGAAATGAAGTAGAACCTGTATTCTACAAGCATCCAGAAGTACGAGGTCCAAGTCCAGAATAGAACCAGCATCCTGGACTGGGGAACCGGGACCGAGCCACGGTCCTGGTCCTGGTCAATAAACGTTACAGATAATGCGTATTTATACATTTTGGTCGAATAGGAAACAACATCGAATTCTGTTGCATTGACAGTTAAGACGACCAATAGGAAGTAACATTTGAAGTGACATTGTTAGTCAGGACAACCAATCAGAAACAACATTGAAGTATTTGACTTTGACAGTTAAAACGACCATAATTTTGACCAATAGAAATCGACCAATAAGATTTGACTAATAATTCTCTTAGGATATTGGATGAATATCCTAACAAAAATATACTGTTCGGGAAGGTAGATCACCGGAAATCACTTTGGATAGGTTCTAATTTTGTAATTTATTTCCGAAATTTTGAATTTTTCTGTTTAGTTGACTGATAGCCTTAAATTTCCCACTTGGAAATCGTTGGCTATGATTGGCTGATGGATTATTTTAGTGCGCTATTTTTGCGGCTCTCCCAAGAGCGCTTCTTTCAAGTAAGAAAAAGCTTGATTTGTGTGCTTGTCGCCTTCGTATTTTCTCGGTGCTTGTAGAATACATTCTCTAATCCTTATCAAGACTTCTTATTCTAGTTAGTGGGGCTGCGGATAATCAGATTAGAATAGCCTACTGTGTTATTGAGTCATTCATTGCTCATCGCTCTCGTTTACTGAGTAAGGTGGATCAATCAATTAACTAGCATATCATAATCCTGAAAGGAAACTTTTCAAATTTTGGTTTAACTGTACTTACTTCAGTCGCATAAATTACAGGAAAAATTGACATGACTATTAGTGATTCATTTCACTAATAATTCAAACTTGATTACAAGGATGTGAATTTTCCCGTAGAAACTACAACTTATATGACTCTGTTGACATATCCATCATCTGAGAGGATGTGCTTTACATTGTCTTTAATTACTACTTTCCAGCATCTTGCGGCTCATTTCATCTTTAGAGTCTCAACATAGTTTCCAGTCATTTAAATGAACTACAGATGTCTTGCAATTAAACTAAATTTCGTATCATACAAACCGATTAGTTTAAACTCAAAATAAATGTCATGATATCTGGTGTGAACTTTAATGATAACTTCACTTAGAGAAGGTTACATTCAAGTAGGAATTCACTTTAAAATCTATCCAATGTTCAGTATTATATACAGTTGTGGCATAAAATTAAAAAATCACATTTTTTTACTACTGTGAGTAGCATTCGCAGCAAAATGCTTACAATATCTGTGAACTAATATGTGTTAAATAGAAAATATCACTAAATTTCCCAACTAATTGTCAATCAGGTACACTTCTAATTACTTACCATCATTTCTTGTTCAGAAATACTATCTGGTGTATCAGGTGTTCGATCATGTTTATTCAGTTCTAAACTATAATTCGGCTTCGTTGAAAATGTATTCTGTGCTGTACTTAAACTGAGAGTGTTTGGAGGAAGTGTATTCGATGGTTTTATTGTGGTTGTTGTTATGGTTGTTGCTGTGATTGTTGGTCTTCTCATAATTGTTGGTGATTGTAAAATTTTATTTTTCATTTCTATTTTCCCAGGTAGAAGATAATCATCTTCAGTGAAACCGTGTACTTGTAAACGATTCAAAGGTTGTTGATCTGATAAATTATATTGCATTAATCTTGCAAATGCCCCGCCTGTACGATGTTGTGGTTCTGGTGTCGGTACACGATCTAATACAAAGGATGCACCGACATTATGTACATTTGTATTTACATCGATCATTTTAACTTTATTTGTATAGTTTATATGTTTTTCCGGTGAAAAACCATGATTTGTTGCACTTGAACCACTGGATTTGTTACCTGTTTTAATTTTAAAAGACGAAAATTACACTTTCAGTGATAGTAACCATTTACATTAATCATTTTCAGTGAAGTTTAAAGAGTTTTTCGTATTTTTTTTCAAATTGTTCCAAGTTATTTATTATTATTAGGTGATTGTCAGTTTGACTTAATCATTGATTCATCTTCTTCATTGATAAGTATGACCTGATAAGAGTGGAGCACAAGAATGACGTCAAGAAAGCCTTCAAAACATTGTGTAAAAACGTTGGAGGGCGTATTCTGAGATTTATGGAAGTTTTGGTAATCTTTATGTCTAACAACGATTGATTGATAATTTCAAATGTGTAAAACACAAACTTCCTAAAAAAAACTCTGCCTCAAAATATCGCAACAGTCCTCATTAGTGACTAGCTTCGTGAGGAAATTCTCGGAGTTCTAGTTGAGGAGACGTGACAAATGGAGTTCAACCCTGTCGGTTTTAGGTAGTAACTACCAAAGACAAATGGGTGAGGTCACGCAAAATCCCTAGATCAATCAGAGTTAGACATTAACACTGTTGGATGCCGGTCCAGTGGTCCAATGGTAAGGCATTCGCCCACAATACCGTAGGTCCCGGGTTTGAATCGTACGAGGTGCAGGAGTCGTGGATGCGCACTGCTACTGATGAGTCCGATACCAGGACGAAACGGCCGCGTTTCAGTGCTTCCAGGTTTCTAATGGTGGTCTAACATTGATCGATTCATGGTTTCAACCCAAAATTCCAAAAAAACTGCCCCAAAAATAATCTTTAAATGATTTTATGGCCTTGGGTAATGTGACAATTTCCTAGCCTTTCTTATTCTTTTCATATTACATTGATTTTCTCTCTCCGTCATCTACAATTATCACCTTATGTCTATTTGAACTTTTATTTAATTGACCACCTTTGTAATAATCTTCATACAAAATGCCTTGACAGGTGTATATAGATATGTGACCAGATTGTTTAAAATGTATAGCGCGCAAATACATCACATTTTTCAGATCAATTATATCTTCTCATTGTTCTATCAAAGGATTTTAGAAGGTTCATATATAGTGTTATGTTCATTCACTATTAAAGAATCGACAACTGAGCAATTTCGTAATTTTAGTTTCATTGTTAAATGAGAATTCATCAATTATGTAAGGATATTTCTGACTGTCAAAGAGGTTAGATCCCCAAAACGCAGTTTGTTTGCTTGAGATCACTGTGTTTGCTGGGTGTTGTAGAATACACGATCTACGCGATATAGAGACTTCTTCGTTAGGTCCTTTGGGGTAACTGATCAGAGTAGCATAACGTGTCACTGGTTCATTGTCTCGTTGCAGTTTATCAACTAAAGTGAACCCGTAATATTTTCAAGCATATCACGTGACGATCATATAACACTGACTACAGTATACAATTTAACTAGTATAACATTTAAAGCTATCTTGATTCATATTGTCTAACTACTAACCGTAACCTGCTGATTGTAGCTGGATCATTATTTAAAAACCCAAAAGGCATTAGATGGATGTTTCTAATCCCGTTTCTCCTATTTTATTATTCACTGAATGAGAGGTTCCTTCCATAAAAAAGTACATGAGTTCATCTAAATCCGGCAGTGTTTCTTTTTGTTATATAATTAAATAAAAGAATGTTCAATTATTATGAAAAATATAAATTACAGTCAGCTTACGTCAATGACATTATGTTTAATGTAACGTAATGTATTTCTGTATTTTTATTTCAATAATAAAATATTCAAGTCATCAGAAAAAAAAAAGAAGGAAATGATAGTCGAAGAGAACATTGTTTTAAATACAAAAAAAATACATGCAAAATAATAGAATTAAACAGGAAATTGATTTTTTTTCAAATCTTACTTAAGCTACTTTGTTGTGAAGCATAATCAGAACTTAGAGCATTATTTCGATTTGATATGCCGGTTCCAAGTGTTTGACATTTTTCACTTTGATTTTCGGATAGAATTTGATTTTTATTATTATTATTATTGTTATTGTTAGTGTATTTTCTTGGAGGTAATGGTGATAGACTTTGTTGATCCATTGAAGTATTTACAGTTAATTTTTGATCTATAACATTAAATAAATCAAAAAATAGAAAACGTTTTATAACACACGGGAAAAGACACTTTAAGTCTTGACATCAAGTACTCACTTCAGAATAGAAACCTAATGGCATATATATATATATATATATATATATATATATATATATATATATATGTAGAGAGAGTGAGACAGATGGGGTCCGCTACTGCGCTACTTCATAGGCTAATGTAGATTTTAAAAATGATCAAGTTGAAAGTGTAAACATTAGAAACATTTTTATATATCATTCTATCTACACTTAATTTGTACACTTAATTTTGTACATTTATTCAAATTGCATTTTAGTTCATTACATTTGAATATTTTCTACTTGTTCGTTTGGATCACTAGTTGGTTAGATGAAATTCCAATACTACTGTTTCTCATGTCCTCACTGATATTCAAATATCTATGGTTAGCGTCAAGGTTGAAGTACAGTTGTTTCTGTGTATTTATTAAAAACAAATAGAAAGGGTATCACATATTTTGTGAGATAGTACCATTTCGTGCTTTCTCGTCAGTCACATACAAGCAACATATTATTCGTGTAAATACAGTTTTGAAGATAAGGTCAAAATTTCTTATTTAGCATGACATTCACTCACTAGAACCATGGTAAACAAATGTCAACATACAGTTGTTTTTGAACATTTTCATGGGAATGATAGAAAGACAACTGAGTCACTTCATCGACAGTATTACACTTTACAAACGATATGTCGACGATACTCTTGTCATTTTACCATATTCTACAGATATTAATTAAGTCAATGATTTATTTAATGCGATTCACCCTAATCTGAACGTCATTTATGAGGAAGAAAAGAATAATGAACTAGCTTTCCTCGATATCCTGCTCCATCGCCGTCCAGACGGGTCAGTCAGACGAAAAGTACACCACAAACCCACCTGGACGGGACAGTACCTCCACTTCACTAGTTTCTGTCCCAAACATTATGAACGTTCTGTTGTCAAAACTATATTCGCTCGAGCCACCAGAATCTGCACTGCTGATACATTGGTCGACGAATTCAAGCTTATTACTGAGACGGATATCCCGAAATGTTCATTGGTCATCAGAACACAACTACGATGAAACTGATAGCAACTGATGTGCCCAAGAAACCAGTGTACCTACAGCTACCTTTCAAGGATGATCATTGCATGAAAATTACAACCAAACAGACTGCAGCTGCCATAAAATAGACCTTTAATGCAGCTAATCTGAGGCTTATCACAACAACCCGATCGATCTCAGTTACCCCAATCAAGTCTCCAAGACCGATTCAGTCCAAATCCCACTGTATTTACCAATTCACATGTAACTGCGGAGAAATTTACTTAGGGAGGACAGATCGCCGATTGGAAGACAGATAGAGGAACATATTCCAAAGTGGTTAAACAAATCCATAATTCATCAACCTAGCCCGTCATCTCAAAATCGATCAAGAAACCCAGCCTCGTCCATTGCAAAACATCTAATGATGAGTGGTCATCAAATTGGCCCAAAATCAGCCTTTAGAGTTATGACATGTCATCAAAACCCACACACACTCAAACTACTCGAAGTTATCTTGATTGGTCGGAAAAATCCAACTTTATGAGTTCAAAAACAACTGTATGTTGATCTTTGTTTACCATGGTTCTAGTGAGTGAATGTCATGCTAAATAAGAAATTTTGACCTAGATTGGTCAGAGTTAGACATTAACATCGTTAGATGCCAACTCAGTGATCCAGATGTTAGTCGCAAGGCCGAATGTCCTGGGTTCTTGTGAGTCGCAGAAATGCACATTGCAGATGAGTCCTATACCTGGATGTCCAGTGCTTTCAGGTTTCTAATGGTGGTCTAACAATGATTGATTAATGATCTCAGTGTGTAAAAACACTGATCTCCATAACTCTAACTGGCGAAAAAATAGTTATTCTTAAGCCAAACTCTTAATCTCAACCCCCTTTTTCTTCGTTTTTCTACTATGATTTCTATATTTTCAATGGATAATAACAGAATTAAAATTTCGAAATGTTAAATTTTGAGTTATTTCAAATGGATAAAGAAAGTATGTATAACCTACGTGTTCCATGTCCATCATGTTTATTCCTATAATTTACAAAATTTGTATCTTGATGTATATTTAATTCATTGTTAATATCTTCTTCATTTTCATATTTGCCAATAATTCTATTGTATTTTTTAAAATTTAAACTTGTACTTGTTGGTGAAGAACAGATTTGATTTAAATAACCATGAGTACGTCCATTGGCACTACTTCCTGGTGAAGATGCAGTCACTTCATCTGTAAGACTACCACTTCCTCCACCGGTACATACATTATCACCAATCATTTTAGTCATCAATTGATTATTTCGAAAATCACGTGAATGATTAAAATTTAAATGAACATTATTATTAGCATTTGTACAACAGGTCATTTGTAAATTAGGTGGATTAATTACAGGTCCAGTAAGTTTAAATGGACTACGATTACCGCTCATATTTTGTAGCTGTTGATGTTGTTGACAGTAGGGTGTATGACAATTAATCGGGTTTTGAACAGTTGACCCAAGGTAGGATAATGTCATATCACGTGATGTATTATTAATATTTCCATTCATTGACTCCATATTCAGTTCATGCATATCAGCTGGAAAATAATGAACATGATAAAATTAAAATGGAAACAATCTAATTTATTATAATTTGAATTTTTCACATTTTGAAATCATTAATCAATCATTGTTAGAACACGATTAGAAACCTGGAAGCACTGAAAGACGACCGTTTCGTCCTGGTATCAGACTCATCAGTGACAGTGCGCATCCACGACTCCTTCACCTCGCACGATTCGAACCCGGGACCTACGGTATTGTGGGCGAATGCCTAACCATTGGACCACTGGACCGGCATCCAACGGTGTTAATGTCTAACTCTGATTGATCTAGGGATTTTGCGCGACCTCACCCTTTTGTCTTTGGTAGTTACTGCCTACACCCGACAGGTCGCGCAAAATCCCTAGATCAATCAGAGTTAGACATTAACACCGTTGAATGCTGGTCCAGTGGTCCAATGGTTAGGCGTTCGCGCACAATACCGAAGGTCCCGGGTTCGAATCCTGTGAGTTGCAGGAGTCGTGGATGCGCACTGCTTATGGGCCTGATACCAGGACGAAACGGCCGTTTTTCAGTTCTTTCATGTTTCTAATGGTGTTCTAACAATGATTGATTGATTATTTTTAAATATGAAAAAACACAAGCCTCCAAAACTGTCCCCCAAAATAGTTTGAATTATTATATTGCTCTATTTGTATTGAATTTTGATCAGTACTGGTTGGAACAATAACAATCTGAGTGGATTTTCTCGGCTTCACCTACGTTATGCAAGTTTCGATACACTATATTCATCTATCAGAAGTTTAAAATTGGATATTCTGAATTCTAGTGTTAGTCACATTCCATCTATTCTATGAAATCACGTAAAAGTTAAAGATTTCAGTCGGAAACAGGGCTATTATATTTTTACAATCCCTTCTTCTACCATGATTTTAAATTCTCGTGAGCATTTTTCTTTTCACATTTACTCTTCTCTAGTATCCATTTCGATTTCAACGATTTATCTTAACATGGTAAGTAATCCCTTTCCAATGACAACCATCATCTATATATCTATCTAACAGTCTTTGTAGTGAAAATTCAAACTGTCAACAGCAAAATTATTAACAGTTTGCTTGTCTAGAAAATAACGATTTTTGTATCTCCTACAGCATTTTACCACACTGTTACTGTGATGAGGAAAATAGTTATTATCACTGCTATTGTCTTTATTGTTAGAATGAAAAGTATTTATTTGTAACTGTACTTTTTTGAAAATGAATTCATTAAAAAAAGAGGCTACTTTATTGAGCCAGTATATTTTATTTTAATTAGGAATTATCCATTCTTAAATGAATGGGGAAAAAATGGTCTGAAGGATGTACATAGTACTGGATTGAAATTGTGACTTGGTTTTGACTAGTCTCATATATATGCATCATGTAGGAATTGACTGAACGTAAAGCCATTATTGTACAAATTCCAGTAAAACTCAAGATTGTAGTAGAGTTTCGTTCTCTGAGCAGGGTGGTTTGGTTGTGTAACTTTCATTGATTTTCTAACCAACATCATAAGCACAAACTTCCGGTAGCAGTGAAGTATTCGAATTTCGCCACCTACCTTGTCCTGTTGACCACAATCTTGATTTTTTTGTCACTGATAATTATTCTGTCATTATCTAACTAATTATTTGTATTTCCTCCCTCTTTGATCTGCGTTGGGCCGAAACTACACAAACCAAACATTTTACTACATGCAACTGTATCCTCCTTTGGAACCCTAACATACAATTTATCGAAAGGAATTTCAAAAATATTGAAACGCTTTATGGATTATTCTAATCACTTCATCAAGTCTCCCTTTACATTTATTGGGCAAACTTCAACAGATTCGAATCAACTATTAGAGACTAATGATATACTTTGATGTACTAGCATTATTCACTTCAATCGAATCAAAGTTAGAGAAAGAAACTCAAATCTCCCAAAATACACCAAACGTCAAAGTCAAAACCTACAAAAACTCATCAATTTATGCTTAATATGATTGCAATTCAACAAGAAAATCTATGTAAAAATGAAATAAACACCAACGGGATCACCAATATCACAAGCAGTCATGTAGACACTAGAAGACTCGATTTCGCCAATGAACAAGCTAAAAATGTAGGTTTGTTATGTAAACGACACATTCATCATCATCATCATCCAAAAGAAAGAGCTGAAGAACACCTACAATCTGATCAACAGGGTATTTGACAACATAAACGTCATTGTGAAAAAGGAAACATCATCATTCCTGGATGTATTAGTTACCGGAAATGAGACAAGAAAACTGCAGTAAGTAAGACATAGCAGAAACGACATCAAGTACACGAACCAAGCGAACATCCTACCATGTATAAAAGACATATCGGAAATCGTAAGAAGATCATTGACGCCGTTTGAAGTTGGTGTAGCACGTAAACCAACAAAATTAATTCAAACAATTTAATGTGAACCAAAGGATAAAATGACAAAAGAAGAAAAACCAAACATCATTTACACAATACACTGTCCAAACTGAGTGAAAATGCTATATCGTACAAAATGGGTGTTCCCTTCGTCTACGTGAACATTAATCTGCAGTCAAACACCATGGCATTTCTTCCCTTATATAATACAAACAGATACCTATGGACATACATTCGATTGGAACAATGTCGAAACACTGTATAGAGGGAGTACACAGAACACCGAATAATTTTTAGAAGCTTAGCAATCACGTTAATGGCAACGAACAAGCAGGTTGACATTGACCCAATTTACCAACCAATCAAAAGGAGATCAAAATCAAAATAAAAGTGCACATTCCGATAGTTATTAGGTCAATAACAACCAGTCAACATTGAGGTTAACAGAACAGAGAACGAAACTCCACCACAAATCATCCACCTGGGCTACAAATTTTCTCCACCATCTCAAAATTCAAGATGCATGTTTAATTCGGACTGTAACTCGTCGCTGGCATGTACTGATGCGTGATTTCACTGTTAATCATTAGCAATAACACAATATTTGCAAAGAAAAGGTTACATCTACAGAGCAAGTGGATTTTTTACAATATTTCAAAACTATGCTGAGGTCGCTATTCTGTCGAGATACCCGCAACATTCTTACTCAGGCGCTTACAGTACGACTTAGAAGTTGGCATTCAATAGTAATAATAATAATAATAATAATAAACAGTTAGACAGTGAGAACTTTTAATCATCAATGTTTTCTTTTTACAAAATCTACTCTTTTAACTGAAATTTCTATTTCAACGTACATAAATCCAACTTCTTGCTTCAACTTCTCTTCTTTCCACTTGACACTCGACAACTCTTTCTTCTTCTATGTTGTACTCCTTCATCTATGGGTTATATTCTTATATTCCCACAATTTACTTTAATTTTAGTGGTCAGTATGAATTTTATCTTAACTTACCACTGTACTGACTACTTCAACATGACAAGTTAAGTAGTGCTTTGGTTATAATATACACTTGTCACGCTGCTGCCTTTTTCTCTCTCTCTTTTCTCTCTTTTCAGATCCCCATTCACGATGGGAAATCCTTGGCGCCTCTAGGGAACATGCACCCCATATACATGACTGTTTGGATCACAGCTCGTATTAAGCGCGTTCCAGTTGACCTTTACCAACAAATTCAGTATTGATCTCGGCAAATCGCCAAAGGAAACTATTGTGCACTTTGCTTATTCGTACTCTACTATTGAAAATGTGGCTGTATTATATTGTTTCTGTCAGTGATATGGTGCAAATATGCTATCAGAAACTGACTTTTATTCTTATTTTAACTGCTATAACTTTTACAGTAAATCTGAAAGCATTTGTAACAATTTTGATCTAGCCTGTAAACAGGCATGCCTCTTGTAACGTAGTTATTTGAGAATAAATATTATTATTATTATTATTATTATTATTATTATTATTAACTCTGACAAAGTTCACGCCCAAACAATTACTCACATCACTTGTGATCAACAGACTTATAACCCTTTTTGTTGTAAACATTAGTAATTCTAAAGTTTAACTATTAATTTTGATGATAATCACCTCTATATTATCATACGCTAATAAGTTACAATAAGAAAGGTAAACATGTTTCAAATTACACATACAATCACTGGCCATATTTCAAATTACATATATATTTGTATATAGTCAGTATAAGAACCTAATTACAACTTACCGGATGATTGTTTATCAACTTAAATTTACCACAATTCAAATCATTTCGCCAATTTTTACTATTTTCTTGACAATCATTAATTAATTTCATAGAATTATTACCATCAGGATCACTTTCAATGGAATGTTGAATGATGATCTTCAAAACAACACGCCACTAGATACACCAATATTAAATGCTGTCATATTCGATATCCAATTCATTGGTGCCGATGCTGTAGACGTATCAATTGATACACCACAATTACAATGACTACTACCAGTTAATAATGGTACTGTTTCATTAAGTTTTTTAACATTACAATCTGAATGAATACAATTCGAATGATGTGATGATGAATAGATGTTTGTGCGTAGATTTTGATTCAATTCATTATTTGTTAATGTATGATGTCCAATACGAATACCAATGGAGCCAGAATTCGAGCCGGCAGCTATAGTTTCTGTTGGACTACAACTACCTAGTATATTCGAATTCAAACAAATATCATTCATATTACATGATGCATTCTTTTGTAAACAATCATGTCGATGTACATTGATTTCATGTTGATGATGTTCGGAATATGGTGTGGTATTATTATTGTAAGTTGATTTAGTTGATCCTCTATACAGAAATTCAAAATATTTTATTGATTAATTCAATGAAAGGAAATATAAAATCATATGATAAATGATAAATTAAAAATGAGAAGAGAAAGTGAAATCGGAAATTTTGTTTTTTTTTTAAAAAAAAAACCGCTCACATCCTGTAGGAAATGTTCAATTTTAAACATGTATTATATTGAAAGGAAACAAAAAATGAATGATTGATTTTCAATAGTCAAACCGTTGTACTGATGGTTTTTACATAAGACAATGATAAATAAATAGGTTTGAAAAGAAGGTACAGACATAATGAAACACACTACCTTACAATACTCTAACCCAATAGTTAGATAGCTGAAACTATTTATTACTTGAAAGGATTACACGATAGGCGGTAAGGTATCGTCAAATGTTACGAGATTAGAGAAAATAGATAAAACAATTGCAGAATTTGAAACTCTTGAAATTCTGAATCTATCAATATAACGTAGCTAAAATTGTGAGGAAATAAATTTCCTAAATGGAGTTCAATTTTGTATTACCTATTGAGATGGTGAAGAAGATTTGTAGCTCAGGTGGATGATTGTAGTGTTGGTGTTTGATTCTCTGAGCTGGGTATTTTGGTTTTCATTGTTCTTCTGAACAACATCATCAGCACAAACTATACAGTCCAGAATAGATCAGGTCGTATAGAACAAAAATATACTACAACATGGTGTACGAATTCGATTGGTGGTTAAACTGCTACATGATAGAGAGAAGTAAATTAGCAATTTTGAGATCATCGAGACACAAAAGGAATAAAAAAAGCCCGAGTATTTAACAATTAAATAGTCAGTTCAACAGTTAAGTAAAACTGATATTGAAATTTGAGCAAGCTAGAAATTGGCGAGTTCAATCGGTAGAAATTATACCTTATTAACAACTGTATAGCAGAGATCCAACAGATTTTATGATTTATGTTGGCACCAGTAAGAAATAATTCCATAATGGATGCATCATCTTTATTCATCTGTCGAATTGTTGAATTCAGTTTACTTCAGCTATGACAGCCAATGAATACCACAAACACTTACATTAGAATGTGGTGGTGGTGTTTGGTTCTCTGAGATGAATGTTTTGGTTGTCAAGCTTTCAGTTTTCTCCTAGTGAACAACATCATCAGCACAAACTTCAGATAGAAGAAGTGAAGTATTCGGATTTCTTCACTTTTGACCTGTAGCTTGTTCTGCTAACCTCGATCTTGATTAGTTGCTGTTGACCTTAAACTTTTGGTTGTTTGCACATTTGTTTTGATTGTATCCCCCTTTTGATCTGTTTCTTGGTCCTATGTCACCTATGATTTGAACAAGCTACTGGTCAAACATGGAGAAATTCGAATACTTCACTTCTTCTATCTGAAGTTTGTGCTTCTGATGATGTTGTTCAGCAGAAGAACAGTGAAAGCTCCACAACCAAAACATCCAGCTCAGAGAACCAAACACCACCACCACCACAATCATCCACCTGAGCTACAAATCTTCTCCACCATCTCAACTTACATTAGAATATAATTAAAAACTGAATGTATGAGACTGTTGTTTTGGTTTATATGACACAGAACTAATTTATTCACCAGTAAATAATCTACAATCCATGTAATACGTATAGTTTTATTTTAGTCAGTAATTCTTGTGATTTTTTCCTAAGCCATCTGTCATTGTAACCTATAGGAAGTGTACATACAATTTAGTTACTTACGAGTAGTTCGTGTAAAATAACAGAAATTTTTCCGAAAAAAAATGAAAATAACCGTTTCAGCTAACAATCGGTCAAATTTGACACCGAAAAAATGCACTGAATAATAGAATTCATTTTTGTCTATATAAAGTCAAAAAAGTCAAAAATACCCTATCTGTTAAAGTATGATGAATTGAACATAAACTCATACACACTAGCGGAGAGATTGTTTATTTCTCTTATGACAGCAAAAAACAAAATTCAATTTGTACCACACAGCATTTAATTAATTCTGCCACTAGAAAATATCAATTTATTTTTGTAATGAAAAAAAATTCTAATTAGCGTATTAATCATAATTGATTATAATTTTTCTATTTTACAATTCAATCACATGGAAAGTGATTTTGAATATGCAGAAATAGTATAAATATATATATAATCAGTGCAGACTAACTATATTGAAAGTGAAACAAATGTTGTTAGTATTAATGAGTGCCCCTGGTGTGACGAATCAATTGAGATTAAATATATAAAAGTTAATGAACTTTGAGCAGTTCACATTTGACGTTCTAACATGACCAAAAACGTGCTTTGGAATAGTATGATGTTAGAACTAATGAAACTCGCAGTGCTGTTTGGTTTTCTACAGTCAGTCAACTAAGCTTAGTTCATGATATCATACTTCAAATATTTGGGGCCGCTTCACAACAGTTTATGACAGCATGTTCATTAACATACATATCATGAATACCTCCTTTCATTATCATGTATGTTTACTGTTAAAATGAGAAAACTTTTATGTAGTTAAACCAGATTTGTTTAAAATAACAATCACAGGGATTTCCATCTTATCAATAGAATCAAACTGTTTAATACTTTTGTAATTATCATAAACTTCAGTGTTATTCCTGTAAATCATTCAGAAAACTCAAAGGTTTCAGATAATTGTAATGTAGTTTACATAATTGCTCGTTTGTACAAGAAGTGATTAGTCGGAAGCATATACATGAATAAATGAAAATTTTGATCTCATTCCTCCTCATTCAGCAGCTCAACTACTCAGTTAATTATTTTCACTTATGACTATAATTGCATTGCGGGGTTGTTGTGAAGATTATTAAGTTACATTATTGAAACCATGAATCAATCATTGTTAGACCAACATTAGAAATCTGGAAGTACTGAAACATGGCCGTTTCTAACTGGTATGGGACTCATCAGTGGCAGTGCGCATCCACAACTCCTGCACCCCGCAGGAATCGAACCCAGTGTAGTGAACGAGATCACAGGTGCGGCAACCGGATTGCATTTAACGAAAATTACAGAGTTACTCAGTAAAATTGGAAAACCATATCGTAAATCGTTCATCTGCAAAATATCAGTTCATCATATCGAACTGGACTGTTCCTGCTGCAAAACATCTATCCATGGTCACTATTCATGCGTTTCATACAAATTCCATTGTGTTCTAACTCTTCCTTTCTTGATCTTCTTCCATCTTCTGCTGCCAGACATTACGTTGACACTCACGTCATATACTACTTATAAGTAGCTCGCACCACACCAGGACCTTCGGTATTGTGCACGATCGCCCTAACCGTTAAGCCACTGAGCCGGTATCTAACGGTGTTAATGTCTAACATGATCAAATTCACGGAGTTGCGCAACCTCAAACACTGTATACATCCGAACAGGTTTGAACTTCACTGGTCTAACATTGATCGATTCATGGTTTCAATAATATGACTATATTTCTTATATTTTTGAGTACTGTTTATCATTTTCACAATACGTTTTAGATACAGGTATTACTATACGTATTAAAAAGTGAGAAAACTTTATCGCAAAAAAAATGTTTCATTTAGCAATGAAAAAATATACCAGAACCTTTTTTTTTAAAGTTTTAATAAAAAACATTCATTGCAAAGTGAATTCATTTCCATTAGCAGCTTCTCTTAAAGCTTCCTTAAAGCCTCAAAATGATTATAAAATTTGATCTTAATCGTGTATATTTTTTTGTCCATATATCAACTCAACATAGTGAAAGTTATTTTCATTTTTTCAAATAGTACAACATTACAATTCATACCTTAGATCATGCGTTTAACTTAGTTAGGCAACCATTAAGGGCACCTAATATGCAACCATGTTTATAACACAAAAATAACGTGAAATAAAATCACCGTAAGGTATTAAGAAATCAAAACCAGACAATATATATATATATATATATATATATATATATATATAGGGAGAGAGAGAGAGAGACGATATATGTTATTGACAACATATGTACACGCAATCATCAAGCATTTATACGCAATATAAATAAGTTTTTGACTGTCTTGTCTCACATGCCTTCTGGTCTTCAATACACTTTAATCGTTCCATGGATTCTGATCTCAAAACACTGCTATCCAGTAGTAACTTCTAATTGACACACTAATATACTGGCAACAGGAAAACATGGAATGAATGTGCGATTATCAAGAGCATCATGCTGTTTTATGATTTCGTTTTTTTCAGTTTTTAATTGATCTATAGAAGATATCATCTCTACATAACGTTAACCATTTCTTTACACAATTGAAATCATCAACCAATCATTGTTAGACCATCATTAGAAACATGGAAGCACTGAAAGACGGCCGTTTCGTCCTGGTAGGAGACTCAACAATCTGATCACACATATTTACTTGTCAAGGCAGTTAACGTCCGATTAGCCGATTAGCGTTGGCAATAGAAAACCATGTTCATCGATTGCAAAACACATAATTGAGCCAGAGCATAAGATTGACATCAAGACAGCCTTCAAATCATCGTATAGAAATGTTGAAGGACGAATTTTGAGGTTTATGGAGGCCTTAGCTATTCGAAAATTAAAACCCCCTTTTTATGTATGCAGAAACAAATTGTCATAAGCTTGAATTTACTCTGGTAATATTTAAGCCTAGGATAATGTGACAATTTTCCTACCCCCTTCTAATTCTTTCTATATTACGTTAATTTTCTCTCTCCTTTATTTACATTTATCACCCTATGTCTATTTAAGTCATTAATTAATTAGCCCTTTATTGATCTTCATATAAAATGGCTTGACAAGTATGTGTGTTCGAAATGTATTATAGCATGCAAATACATCACAACATTTTTTCAGATCAGTTTACATCTTCTTACTGTTCTATCAAAATTTATTTATACAAACGGACTAATTGTTGTTTTCAATCCCATTCTCATTTGCAAAATGAAACGACTCTTTTATAGAATATATTATTTTCTTTATAATCAAAAAATTAGATTTTGAAAATTTCAATTCAGTACTCTAAATATTTTTAAATAGTTTGCTTTTATAATAAATGATTGATTAGTTAGTTAGTTTGTTTGTTTGTGTAAAAAAATAAACAATACAAATAAAATAATTGAATTTTGATCAATTTTTTTTTCGAGTCTCTTCTTATTTATTTATCTATTTGATTTAAATATTGTTATTTCATGTTCATTGTGTTGTTTATAGCCCAACTGACTTTTGTGATGATTAATATAAGTAGGAAATTTTTTTATTTCATAAATCATTTCTAATTGAATTATAAATTCCAGTTAAATGTCTGTCAATTTGTCAAATAATATTTTAATTTGATCATAGACAAAAAACTAGTTTACACTCAGTTAATAAAAAAAATTGTTTACTTGAACAAAATCATGTCGTATCCACATTACAGAGTTGTGAAAATTGTCAAGTCTTCCCACTAGAGCTTGGAGAAGATTCCTCACAAATCTAGCCACTAGTGAGCACAGGTAATTAGAATTACGGGGTTGTTGAGAAGATTGTTAAGTTACACATTTTTGAAACCATGAATCGATCAATATTAGACCATCATTAGAAACCTGGATGGTAAGGCGTTCGTCTACAATACCGAAGGTCCTGGGTTCGAATCCTGCGAGGTGCAGGAGTCGTGGATGCGCACTGCCACTGAGGAGTCCCATTTCAGGACGAAACGGCCGTTCAGTGCTTCCATGTTTCTAATGGTGGTCTAACATTGATCGATTCATGGTTTCAA